TTTTTAGTGTGGTGTGTCAGTGTGTTATTTGTGACTTTCTATTGGATATGGGCCCTTAACTAAGGTTGGAAAACACAAATCAAATTATTGGAAAATGATACCATCTCGTTACGAAACCATTCTGATAGAAATTTGTAACTGTTAGATGCATACGATAATTAACATATATGTGAATTTAACGGTTACAAATCTTAACGGATTGGTTCCGTAACGGGATTGTAGCCTAAAATAATTAATAATAAACTGAAATTTGAAAAAAAAAAATGAGTGATGAATAAAATGAGATTATTGGGAGGGGTGTCATCGAATTCTAAAATATTTATTCAAAATTTTATAAGTACTTTTATATTTTTTAAGATTTTTAAAAGTATAGAATCATTCAGTTGAGATTTTTCAAAGTCTACAAAATCTAGAACTATTTCACTTATTTATATTTGAGATTTACTTTTTTAAATTTGGTGATATTTTAATACGTATATACATGAAATCTTAGGTATGGAAATGAATATATATATATATATATATATATATTACTGAATGAGCTGAGCTTTAATGGCAGACTCGCGTGATTCGAGATCCTATTTGTCATAATTCTATACTTTGGATTGATATATAATTAGAGTTGAGTATCATGTCAAATAACAATTAGGCATAGTTGCTTTCATAATATATTATTTTTTTTCCTCCATTGAAATAATAAATATTGATTTCATTCCGTATTTTTTTTTCATAGTTCCCTTAATATTTTTTTTTCATTTTTTTTTTGTTACATATATTCACTAGACCAATCATATTAGTTTATTTCTCAATATTTCTCTCCAATATTGATATACTAATCATTTTGAATATGAAACATATTATTCTTTTATAAATTACAATTATTTAAATCTAATTGGCATGTTACCAATTTAACAAAAATTAATTATTACTTATCCAAATTCTAAATTAAGCAAGACTGTTACATCACATGGTCTGTTAGACATCTAATTAAATAAAAAAAAATGATCATTTTTACTTAATATTCAACAAACATATTTTAAATGCACACATCGCCATATCGTTTTTATTAATTTAACATATATATTGTTCTACTCATATAATAGCAAATAGTATTGATATTCTTATATGATATATATAAGTGAAAAAAAAATATCTAACATGAATTATGATATTTTCATTTAGTATACGAGTGTTTACTATTATGATTGAAAAAATATAATTTGACAATTTAATTAAAACACAATGTGATGTTTATATAAAACTAAATTATTTTAGCTCTAAAAGGTTTAAAATAAAAGCTTTAATATTATATATATATATATATATATATATTTTTAATTCAAACACTTGTATAATAAACGAGTATTATTGCTCCAATAGAGTAGTATATCATACAAAGTGAAATGTTGCTGAAAGACGTAAGCGATTAGGTAAGGCAACGACTAACGAACGACAAACGATATCATTTTATATACTAAGTACTTTTTAACGTTTTTAACGTCAAAATTAATTAAATAAAATAAATAAAAGTGGTGGTAGTTGATTGCGGGAAATCATATTTTGTCCCACTTTTCAACACCTATCCACCAAAAATTCAACAGTAGAATTTTAAAAATCGTTTGAAGCTGGTTGCACACCAGTGCCTCATTTAACATAATTTTATTATTTTCTCTTTATATCACAAACTTTATTAATAGCCATTTCCATGTATCATTAAATAAAAGTACAGAAATAATAATAATAATAATAATAATAATAATAATAATAATTATTATTGTAAGAAAAATTAGTTTTGTACCGATTTAACGATTTTATTTTTCGTAAGTAGAAGACTTAGAAATTTTCAAAATCTTTGTAAGGTGAATGAGGAATTAATTCTAAGGTTATATGTTAATTAATCGAGTTTAAATAACTCAAAAATGTTGTAGGGTTCACAAATATTATGTTTTGATAAATGTTTGGAAAAACTAAACGAGCCATAATTATGCATTATGTATGCTAGAATTGTAGAAGGGCTCGTTGGGGACAAGTAGGAAAAAACAGAACTCGATTCCGAGTCCGTATGAGCTCTTACGAGCCCGCGTCGCATGAGCCCGCAACTGGCTGCGAATATCGAAGGGTCGCGGCCCTTGGTGAACATAAGGTATCTTTTGACCACTGAATGCATCTGTTCTGTTGGGGCACGTCACAAAAGGTGTCTTTTAACACTTAAACCTCATTGGAGGTGCTTCCATACATCTATAAATACCCAAACATAAAATCATTCAAGACATCGAATTTTCAAAATCTCTTTGCATCCGTTTACAAAGTTCATAATCATCTTGTATTCATTGTGTTATTTTCTATCTTGCGAGTTCCAAAACAAAAGTATTGTTCGCCGAAGCTTTGTGTATTTGAGTTATCGCTATACATAAATCATAAGTCGTTGTATTTAGGAGGCGTTAGCCGTGAGTAATATACGAGACTATTTCGTCCTACGGAGAGCATATCTTTCGTGTCTCGACTTTATTCGTTTTATCTTTTTCTTTATGATTTTTTAAGCAATTTTCTTGAAATTCACGCACCAAATATAAATTACAATAATAATAATAATAATAATAATAATAATAATAAGGGTGTCTCCAATGGTTAGCTATTTGGCTAGCTATTATGACGTGGACAAGGGAAAAGTAAGAGAGAGAGTAGTCACTAGCTACTAACAAATAGCTTATCTATTTCACGTAGCCCAATATCATGTGAGATAAGTATGTGGGTCCAATAGTGTAAAATAGTTATTTTTCTTATCTCTCGCATCCATGTCAGCTGACTATATAGCTAGTAATAGCTATTACCATTGGAGATGCCCTAATAATAATAATAATAATAATAATAATAATAATAATTGGGTTATGCTCCTCTATGTCATAGTGGGAGGCGATGGACTGCAGTCGCTCCGAGACCGCCTTCATTATTTTATTTTATTTATTATTTATTATTTTTTTTGTGATTGGTGTGTCCGTGTGTTTTTTTGGTTAGTTTTTATAGTGTTGTGTAGTGTGGTGAGGAAACGAGTAAATTTTGCCGGAAAAACGCAAATCATGCTGACTTAGGTTATGTTTGGTAAAATTAGCTGATAAGCTAACTGATAGTTAATAGCTTATATGTAATTTTTGAGCTTATAACTTATAGTTTATGACTTATAGCTGAAAAACTAGCTTATATGATAAAAGTGTTCGGTAAAATTAGCTGATAAGCTAGCTGAAATAAAAAAATTCAACTAGCTTATTTGAAAAGCTACCTAAACAAGCTTATCAAATAAGCTCGAGCTTTTTAAATAAGTTCATCCTACCAAACGGAGCTTATTTGAATACAGGAAGCTTATAAGCTAACTAAATAAGCTTTAAGCTAGCTTATTTGGTTTACCAAACATAACCTTAACTAATCTGTTAACTCGTTTTGCACAAAGTCACAAGAAGCGTGTTGCTATAAATGTTTTTAGAATGTTAAGACTTAAGAATAATCACGAGATTTGGCTTCAAGAAGAAAAAGGTGGCAACGAGCAACCTCACCGCTGACGCAATTTCACCATTATCACATGTGACGGATATAGAAGTTTCACTCAAACAAGTTCGATTTTAAATGTTAAATCATTGAGTTATGTAATTTAAGTCGAAACACTAATTTAATATAAAAATATTTTACTTTAAATATAAATATCAATATTTTTACCATAATATTTTTAAATACTTAAAATTTGCATCACCCTCAAACTTTTTAAAACTAAAAAAAAAAAATCATGTATCCCACCTTATGCTCAGGGTACGTACGAGGTTCGAGTCCTCGGAAGAACAAAAACCACAAAAAGTCTAAACATGAGTTTTCACCTTAGGACTGAAGCACTGTAGAAGTCCATGTGTCCCTGGTACATAGTCATGGCCCATCGGGGGCCCCACGCCCCCCACAGAGGGGAAAGGCTGATGGAACGACCATCAACATATGGATTTCATTATGAACTCATATATAAAGTTAATTTGCTTAATTTTCACGGTCGGCACATGTTAATGTCGTTTGAAAAATGATGAAACCTCAACACCTTTGACTCGGATTTTTAAATTTCATGTGACAGAAGATTATCTTACCATAGATAAATGATGATGTGGTGTTAAAAAAATTATGAAATCTTGACACGCGTGACTGCGTGCACAGATCTTAATGTGCTTGTTCTCGAAAACAATAACAATGATATATAAATATATAATTGGAATTACATTAATCTCCTGCAGATGTTTCTTTATGTAGACTTTGGAGTAACCTAGTAAACATATAATATCACAACGTCCAAAATACATGAACAAAACCAAGCAATATCCATTTACAGTCACTGTGGAATCTTGTTGAGCTTGCAGTAGGCATAATCCTTATACTTTTTAGTCTTGTATTTTGGCGGGCTTTTCTCATCCACAAGCTCCGAAATAGGCCCGATTTCATGCTCGGCCGGCGGCTCGATAAACACCGGCCAAGACATCCTCGTATGCTCCTTGTTCACCGTCGTGCGATGGAACACAGCCTTATACTTCCCGTTGCTTAGTATCTGTATCATAAATAAAACGGAGGCACTCATAATCCTAACTTCTTTGTTCCTTGAATGATAGCAAATTATTAGATTCGAGAACATGACTAATTACAAGATATAAAGCAAGATATAAAGCCTGATGTCAACTGACATCAACACAACTTGAAAATAAGTCTTCGCTCAAATAGAACAACATGGAAATGACAAAATTGAGAAGGTAAAGTGGTTAAATTGCAATGGCCACCTCCAATTTCATATCATCGCGAACAAGCAATTCAAATTCAAAACCGAAACTAGAACCAAATAAAAATCGCTTAAAAAATAGCCGATTCTCAAACCAGAACCGCCAACTAACCCTGGTCATCTCCAATTTAAGGGAAGAACCAAGCCCGAGTCTCTTGAACCAAAGCGTACTTGTCTAACTACAATGCACCTCAACTCAAGGACAACTTGTGAACAAACCATATAGCCAAACAATCATTTTGGAAGTTAGATGAATTTTGTACCTCAATTGTGTGTAACAAGGGCATGTTTTATGCACCTAACATAACAAACGAGACAGCTAATAATCATTTATGGGAGTTCTATGAATTTTGTACTTCAATTTGGTCCCCAATGCATATGATAATGGGCACTTTTTTTATGTACCTAACATACCAAACCAAATAGATAAACAACCATTTTTGGAAGTTAGATGAATTTTGTACCTCAATTTGATCCCCAATGTGTATAATGAGGGCATTTTTTATGTACCTAACATCATACCACTCCCCATCTCTAGAAACCTGGAGGCCTTGGATTTCGTTCGGGACAAGGACTGTTAGGGCCGACATGTCGGTGTGGGCCACCACGCCTAGTGCAAGGTCCGGGCGGGGGCATGGTGGGTAATAGTTTATCTTCAACAAGAAAACCGTGTCGTCGCCACCCATAGCCACCTTGAGCCGCGGCTCGTCGAGCCCGAGCCCAACCGAGAGCCACTTGATCAGCTTTTCGGATACCTCTCTAAGCCTCTTCCCATAGTCTTCGGTTGCTTCTCTGCAAATTTTGACGATTTTAAGTTAAACCAGTACAATTTACACTTAAATTTTTTATAATAAAAAAAAAATAAGAAAAGTCTTTGTTTTTTTTATAAATTTTATTTTATTGCAATTAATATTAATAGATTACTTTATTTATTATTATAAATGTAAATGTAGTCATTTATTTATTTTCGATTCAATAAACTCTGCCGCACGCACTCACGCACCAACATTCACCTGTAACAGGCCGGATTCCTCGGCCAGAAATCGTACTTAACCGCCGCCGGCGGCCAAATCCTATGAAACAGGTGGTCGACCCACCCCTTCTTGCCGTCGACCTCCTTCTGCAGCCGCGTCCCGTAGCCTTCGATCCCCGACGACTGCGTTTTCGCGATCAATTCCTTCTCCTCCACCGGCAGCTCGAAGAATGCTCTGCCGGCGTTTTGCAGCCGCGATATGACGTCATCGGGTATGCCGTGGTTCACCACCTGGAACATCCCCCAATCTTCGCTCGCCGCCTTAATCGACACAACAATCTCGTTCTCGTCTCCGCCGCCGCCGACGTCAATCACCGGGATCTGCAGCACCACGCCGCGGACGGTGGTCTCCGCCGGCTGCTCGGCGGCGGACCGGATGAATTGGGGCGGGATTGTGTCCTCGTTTTGGGATTGGGAAGCGATGGATTGCACTCTCTCCGCCTCCATTATTAATTTACTTTTTTTCCGTTTTCTTTTTTTTTTCTTATTTTTTATAGTGTCGTGTGTGTGTCCGATATTTGTGGCTTCTCTGTTGTTTGCATTTGTGCCATTAAAAAGGATTGGTGGTGAGTCAAAGAGTCAACGAAATGTGAGGGAAGGAGTAAATTTTTGCCGGGAAAACGCAAAATCAAATTATAATAAAATAGTTCATAATAAACTAAAAATTGAAATATATATAATGGGGGAAATGCTACGGTCCAATTACAGAATCATTCCGTCGGAGTTTGAAATCGTTAGATAGACTATCCCGACAATTACACGATTATCTAACAATTATAAATTCCGACGGAATGATTCCATAATGAGACCGTAGTATAAAATGATGAATATAATGACGGTTAGCTGCATTTAGGGCTCACGTAGTTGGTGCTTGGGGTGTCATAATTTATTTTTAATTTTTTTTTTATTTAAGTTTAGAATTTGAATCTGATTAATTGAAATAGATTTATGTTTATCATATAAATGATATTTTTTTTTTATTATTTTTGGTTCAATATTTATATTTTTTTCTACTAAAATGTTGGGGAACTTCGATTTTTCAAAAATAAAACAAAAAATAGCGGAAAAACAATATTTCACTCGTTTTTTTTTATTGCAATTTAACTGAAATTTGCCACCTCTAGTTGGTGTTGTCCGGAGTTTTGGGTACTATTTTGCTTCAAATTTAGGATATGGTCCTTGGTGTTACTTGAATTTAGGATATGGTCCCCAGAGTACAATTTTAATTTTGGTTGGTTTGTAGGTGTTAGGAACTGTGAAGCGCCAATTCAGTGACTAGCGGGAATAGAGGTGGTAGGTGTTAGTAGTTAGGGGTGAATTTTTTTTTAAACAATTAATCATCATTTTCCAAAATACAAATTATAAATTTTTTATCTATATTAACAGAAATTTCAATGTCAATATTTACTATTTTCATTCACCAACCACTTTAAATCAAAAATAAATAAATAAATAAATAAATTACCACGAAATTATTAATTAGTAAGACTACTGTGAGCAACACGAATAATTTTAAAAACACAAACTCCATAAAAAAAGATAAAAACAGACACAGTTACACTGACAGCAAACATCGCTGCACTAAACAAAACAAACCAAACAAACAAAGACAAAATACAACTCACACCTAATCCACAAATAAAATAAGACCTCCCCAAATTCAAGTAGGCAAGCTAAACGACTATCAAACCGACCTCCGAGGCCCCACGCCTCAGCTAACATACCAATAAAGTCACAAATCTAAAGCTCGAACCCAAAAACTGCAGACAACCTCCTAGACAGAAAATTATCGAGCAAGAAAACATAAAAAAAAGTGTATATCCAATCGCCTCATGCGAGCGTGTGATCGATAGATTTCATAGCTGTTGAGATGCGTTAAAAAATTGTCAGACTGGTCTTAAATAACACTACCAATCCTGCCAACTAAATGGAGGATAAATAATAGAAAAGCTATCCTTGTCTCAACTTAGCAATGGCACTGAACGTAGGATTTGAGGACTTCCTTTTTATTCTTGTGCCATAATATTACATGAATGTTATACAAAGTTATATGATAATGATACTTAAAAGTTAAATCACATCTCATGCATTTAAACAATTACATCCTTTTTTCTTAATTTTTTTTTTTTTTCTTGTACAACAAAAGACATACAGCAGCAGTAATTTCGAGTCTGTTAAAGTCTTCAGCCTCCGCAGCACGAACCACATGCAGAAGGAGCGCCTGAAAGGTCAAAAAAGTCGAAAGAAAACAATATTTCAGGTCAGAAAAAATAGACACGAACAAAGATTTAGTGACAATAATGAGTATCAACGAACAACTTACTATGATCAATCCCCCGGACATTACTCATCCCGCTTGGCGGCCTTCGTGGGCCCCCACCGGGCCCTCCTGGAGCACCGCCGTCATCCCATTTCTTACCTGAGCCCGATCCTTTACGGTAAGTTTCAGCTTTATCCATCTGCAAAAAGGAAAACCGCCAAAAAAAAGGGTATGATTATGAATAATAGCATGCTACTCATGATTAACAACAAAACTCCACTAGCGTTTTTTACCAGAAGAACTCAAGGATTTTACCGAAAAAAGTGTCACGAAGAAGATGCTAATGAAGTTCACGACTGCCAAAAAGAAATCCGCGATTGTTCTTAGCCGCCAAAATGATTTTTTGGACTTGACAACACCTGAAAATTTAAATACAAAACAGGGGACATGATAAGTAAGTTTGTGCAGTCTCATAGATAGAATCATAGCAATATATCAAAAAAAAATAAAAAAAATTAAGTTCTGTCAATTTACTCCACCAGTTGCAGTTAAGATATTATTTAATCCAAGTATCAAATAGCAACCAATGAACTTTTAGCTCAGTTTCTCGTGCAGGTTTTAATGTTAGAAGGGCATGAATATAAACTTCCGTTTATTGTAAAAAAAAACCTAACGCTGCTGTTAGGCGACATAAAAATGATAAAAGTTAAGATATTTCAAAATTTAAGCTGGCAGCAGGTCTTATCGGCGGTAATGTGGTGGCTTTGAAAAAGTTTGACTTGAGCCAGTCGCCATGCCTGACCATGTTTACAGTTTAGTTGGTCTTGCCCCTTTCCGTCCCGTTTCCCTCCAATTTCATCAAGTGGTCATGCTAGAGACATATTACTCGGTTACCCCTTTTTCGAGCTTCTACACCGCATCTTTTCTTTCCTTATGGGATCTGACCTATTAGCCCTTTGAAAGAGCAGCTCCAGCAAAGGGAAATGAACTTCAGGATTCCTTTCTTAAGGGTAGAGGAAGGAGCAAAGCCGATAAGCAAGTACAGTAAGCCAGTTATGGTTGCTATCCCGTGCATCCAGGATTTGTGCCTAGGGACAAGTCATGAAACCCCGTGTTTTTTTGCTTGCCTCCCTCTATAGCCTTTCTTTGGGGGACCTACTGAAAAAGGCATTGCTTAAATTTACATCCCTGTCTTTAACCCTCTGAAAAGGGATTAAACCCCCCGTCTTTCAAGCTTACTTCCTTGAGGGAGTCTGACTTCTTGTTTAATGGTTAATACAGGAAGAACCAAATCCAGAGCTAGGAAGTGGAGGTAAAGATCCCAGACCATGAGGAATCCTATGACGAATAGAGTACAGCTGGGGGCTTAACTACCTTTTCTATCTCCTCTTGTTCTGAGATGCCCGCTATTACGACTAAAAGGAGTAAAAGAATAAGGGCTTGGTCCGCTCTTTTGCTTAGAGGGATCAGTCTTCTTTTCCTTGTTTCTTTTTTTTTTTGTTTTGATGTCTTCCTTTTAGCAGTTTGTCTTTTTTGAGTTGTCTGGTAGAGGCAAGTAAGGGCCAAGAGAGGACTACGTTAGACCACCTATCGCATGCAGCCGCGCATCCGTTTTCTTGCTTGGCAGCCACAACAGTGACTTTCAGGCTTTTGGCGCTTGCCCTTCTAGTAGGCTTTTGACTGAGACCCACGACTTCTTTCTTATTCTGAGCCCCCTTCGTATCCACCAAATTGGTCGTATACGGGGACCTTCTGAATCCAAGAGTAATTATAGGACGTGCGTCAGCCAAGGAACTTAATGGAAACAAGGCAGTGATGATTGTGCTTGGAGCGACTACGATCAGTTTATTAATGCTCGCATAAAGAATTTCAATCACGAAGACGAAAGCAAAAACTTATTATATTCTGTACCAGCCGTCCGGTAACAAAAGAAAGGAGAGAGAGCGGGGCTCGCTGTAGTGAGGGATAAAGGAGGAGGTTGCCAAATAAGTACCGAAGTCGTGAGCGAGAGACTGCTCGTACCATAATATGCTCATTTCTTCTACATTTTTCTTTATGTGCCTGAGACTAGTATATCATAGTTGGTCTTTGACCTTAGAACGCATAGAGTGGGAAAATGGACAATACCCGGTAAAATAATCTTCACCGAATTAGGAAAACTAAAATTTTCCACATCTAACAGATAACATAAAATCAATGATCACATGGGCAAAATCCCAAAAAAATCAACAATATCGATAAACCCCCTGTAATGTTACGAATGAGTTGGTAGCATGGATCATATGAAGCTCTAATTTTGGGGTCAAACGCCAACATCTCATCGAAAGGTATAATGAGTGTATTTAAGGTTTCGTCTAAATTTATTTTTCAGGCCTTCATTCATCACAGTTTTCGCACGTTTTGCTCAACAATCAGTTACGTATATATATCCTTACAAGAAACAATCAGTATTAAACATCACATTCAAGAAATTAACATCATTCTGATTTAACAAATCAAACGATGATCAGTTCAACTTCGAAAAACCACAACTTAAACTAAGGTGCTCAATCAGTTTTCCGCAAAAATTCTAAAGGATTTAGACAGTCAGCTCAAACATGAATTAACGATAGATCTCAGATTTGGTTCACAATCCCAAACACAACCCTAATACCTTAATAACTGCAAACGATTGTCTGTTCTTAATCAATCCCACAACCAGGTTAAAAACATCCAAATCGATCCGGACACATACAACAATCATAGCATTTGTAACGAAAATTTCAGAAAATCATGAAAATTCTGAAAAATTAAAGGACCTTGGAGATAAATTAGCTCGGTTAAATTGACAATATGAGAAAAATAAATAAATAAAAAAAAAATGAAAATAATAAATAATACCTCTCTCTATGTACGCCATGGGAGCAAAGGCAAACGACTCTTTCCCCGTGTGTTCTTCGATTTTTCTAATTACTTCGACAAATTATTAGATGAAAAGAAAAAGAGGGCGAAATTGTCTGCGGTGAGCCTCACGGAAGGTCGGGAAGATAGCCAGTTACGAGTCTACACGGCAAGTGGAGGCGTGACGTGTCGATATATGGTTGGATTTATCGAGGTGGATCACAGTGCGGGACGGCTTGAGCGTTGTTTTTACCTGCTTACGTAGTTCCATCCAATCATCATTCGCCGCGTGTGTGACTTCCCGAATATTCTTAACATTCAATTAATTATCCAGATCGTGCTGAGCTTACGTGGCTATTTCTGGTATTTCGGAATCCTATGTGGCAAAATTACATTAGGTTGTGTAAATTTTAATTTAATTCCAAATAGAAAATAATTAGATTCGGATTACCATAAATATGTTGATTATTTATGGTCATTAATTGTATTTTAATATCATTCCTTATTATAACTATTGAATTGTATATATATTTTAAAAGTTAATAACTTTTGTATTTATTTCAGTTTTACATATGTAATATATCAATTAATCTTCTTTTGATGAACTTCGATTTAACATTATATTGTATGTATAAAGAAAATAATTTATATTTATCTTTATAACAATAATATAATTATTTTTAATATTAATTAGAAAAATAAAATTATTTATCAACTAATATATTTATATTTCAAGTAGTTATATGATATAAGTTATAAAAATTAATATAATATAAAACATATGTAAATCATGAGTAATACATATCATTTTAAAATCTATAGTAATATATTTTTTTTTAAAAAAAGTAAATTAAATTTAATATAGTTTTCTCATTAATTTTAAAATTTAAGAATATTTTTTTAACAAGCACCCGTGTAATGGGTGTTTTACTAGTGTCATAAGGATTACAAACTACAAGCTTATACTTCATCAGAAATTCTATGGAGTGATGGCTTCCTTATGGAAACATCCATCCATAATCCATAAACTTCATTAATAACTGTATATTTCATAGTATTTAAAAAGAGGTGTTGACATCAAATTCCTACGGACGTCGGATGAACGACACGTGGGCAGAAAGGGAAAAAGGGGGCCGACCCGAGTAGAACTAGGATAATGTTCCCGAGTTGTATAAACCGACCTCGGAGGACCTACTACGTCAAGACATCGACCTCACTGCATAGGTGACCTCAAATATGGGCCGACGTCGGAACCGACAGACAGCATTAAATGCACGTCCATCAAGATAGCTGAGGGCCACGTGAGGACATCATTGCAA